TGGAATTACGTTTCGTGGACAACTTTTCGTGGACACACGTTTCATGGACACACGTTTCGTCGACACGGTGACGTTTCGTCGACAGCACCACCGTAAAACGATTCGTCGCCAAACTTCTTTTTTTGCTGTTCCGAATGGAATGCCGGAAACTTGAGGTACAAGCGCTTGTAACAGATGACAAAGACGATGCCTAGCGAAGTTGCTCTCCAAGGGGAGCAACAGCGCTACCGTCTCGCTCTCATCCGTGTGACATGGAATAAGCAAGAGCGCGCAGGACTTCGCGCGCGGCCTATTCGGATATTTGCAAGTTGCGATGCCTGTTTATGGAACCGGAGGTAACTGGAAGAAGGAAAGTGTTGGAGAAAAAAATGCGTAGGCGCAAAAGAAAACTTCGATCCAATGGTGGGTTGGGAAAAGGGCGTGGGCACTGATTTTTCTTTTTCCTAGTGGTTATTTTTAAACAAAAATGCAGCTTGCAGCCTTTTATTGCAACATTACAACCTTAATATTTCAATTCAAATTAAGCATGTTCATTATCCTCAATTATTCAAAAGGAAAAGTGAGGCAGCGTTTTACTGGCTGCTGCGACTTATACGCGAAAAAACTGTTTAGTCGCACTCGTTTCATCGTCATTTATTCTTAAGGGCCGTTTAAAAAGCACATTACATAATAAAGGGGCTGTAAACAATATCAAATAGAAATAAATAACCAAAAGCACGAAAACCAATAACACTCGCACTGCCACGAGCACGCTGCCCGAGAGTAAACTTAAAAAAGAAGCTGCATTGCAATGCAAAAAAAGCAAAAAAAAAAAAAAAAAACACGAGAATCGGTAACATATAAATAAAACATTACACCAAGTTTAGTCTTATTCCACAAAGCAAACCATAGTTGATATCAAATGTGCAATTTAATGCATTGTATAGCTTCTCTCGAGCAGACACCACATGGAAGGCCTCGGAGGTGGTAGTGCCACTAGACGAGGTCTGTCGGCAGCAGAAGACTGGTCCTCACACGCGACATTCAATTGTTCTTTTATCGATGCCAGCAGACAGATCCCTGAAGCAAGTTCGTGACCCAGCTCTTTGCATAAAGGAGCGGCTTCCAAATCTAATGATATTTGGTCACATCTACGTTTAGGTGCATGCAAAATTTCAGTACAAACATAAAATATGCAGAACTATAGTATTATTTTATATACAGAGGCTAAATATGCTAAAGTCTAAAAATAGTATGCGGTCTGGTAAGTAGAGTACGTTGAATACCCGGTGTTTGGAGGAGAAAACAACCGTGTTTTATCACCGTAAAAGTAAACTGCGCGTAGCCAAATGCTCAATCTCCTTCAAAGCTTATTGCTTGCGGCTAAGACCAGATGCCAACTAGCTTAAAAAGCGGTTTTATGCCATTTTCAATGGTAGAAAGGCTGTGCGCACCGCAAACAGGCCTCGTTTTTTTCTTTCCAATTTTTTTAAAGGCTTTAGTCTTTTAAAGTGTGGACTGTCTATTCTATGTTCAGGTGGCTCTTGAGGATTCTACCAAAGGACGATGACGTACAGTACCTCGATCACATATGCCGTCGAAAGCGTTTTTGCCTCATAAACATACACACAAATAGAAGGGAGCGTGCATTTTGTGCTTCGCGTGGGATTTCTTGAGCATGACTTTCAGTTCTGAGATGAAGCCCGTTAATTATAGTCGGTGACATGTAGTGGAAGCTCCTTCCATCTCTTTCCACTTTTGCAGAGCGAACACTCGCAAGGAGGCGACCCCCTCCCCAGCGTTTACTTTTAACCTGTCACCGAGTGTTTTTTTTTTCGTGGACTTTCCAAATTGCTATAGCTCGCAGTGCATACAGCAGTGTAATCCAGGTGCTAACTTGCTGTGCGTGTCTAAAGAGAAGACATGTTTCCCTCCGGAGCCATAGGGAGGATCGGCGGCCGAGTGGGCTAGAGCACACCAGCTCGGAGCACAGGGAGCGAAATCTCGCGCTACAGAACCCAGGGATCCTGGGTTCAATCCGCACCCTGCCCGTTTCGCTCTGGATGAACGATCCTACCGGCGAGCGGTTTCTCATCTACTGCTGGGAGACTCGTCGGCCGTTGAGGCAGATCAAATTCTAGGCTGTATAAACATACACACAGCCCAATTTTTTTTCCGGAGCCATAGCTACAGACTATTTTCGGCGCACGCGATCAGCGCATTCAGAAAACTAAGAACAAGAGCACGCCCACGAGGCTTCGTGTTGCCTCTCTTTTACACGTGCTCACCCTAGCTTCGACAAAATTGGAGCCCTGCGGAAGTTATGCTAACGTTGACAACGTAAAATAAATTAGTTCTGAACACGTTGACGCTTTCACCGCCGAAACGTGCCCCACATGTCCTACACTTCGTTTCACGATCAGCGCGAGCGAAAGCAATGCGAGGTCGACGTTGACACTTCACGAGCTCTCCTTCGCGTGCATTTATGGTGAAAGAGAGAATAAGGAGCAATAGAACAAAGGAAATATTGCCACATATTTTCTGTTATGTAATAGATGGTCAAAGTCATATTTGGGGGTTTTACGTGCCAAACCTACGACGGGCATCTGGCACGCCCCAGCGGAGGACTGAGGATTAATTTCGACCACCTGGGGATCTTTTGACGTGCAACCGAAAGCTCGGTTAGACGGCGCCTTCTCCGCAATAAGCCTCCGTCATATTGCGGGCACCTCGGTCGGGATTCGAATCCGCCACCTGGGGATCCGTAGGCCGGCGCTCTCGCCTCGGAGCCACCGAGGCGGCTATGTAATAGATGGCAGGGTAGATCTATGTTTTGACCACCCATGCTAAGCCTATTTCGTATTTACCAATTCTGATAAGCATGACCCCACCTGGAACCTATCCAAACGCGGATTAAAATCTGACTTGCTTAATTTTGAGATAAAAATAAAAATGAAAATAAATCTATACATTTGCGGTATCCCTTATTTTGTTTAGATTCCTTACGTTGTACGCATCAGTGGCATTAATGCGATAAATGATCAGTGAATGCGATGTTCCGTGGAATGAACTTTTTTATGTACCTCATCACTTGCGCCACCAGCACATAGAACGTTTTTGCATTACGCGACGCGTGGCCAAGGCTTTCGTAACTCTGTGGTGCGGTCCTTGCGGACCGCATTCCACGTGTGGCGTCGGTGTGAGGTGAGTTAGATGGATCCCACTTGAAATAAATACTAAAAATCAGTTTCTCATACTGCGACACTAAGTCTTGACGTAGGTGCAGCTACAGCAGTCTTGCCTAAATACCAGCCAACATCTAAGCCTTTCTCGTGTCGAAGTTTCGCGTGTCGCGTTTCTTTTGAAAAACTAAAGGCTTAGCACATGTCGGTTTTAGAAAGCATTTTTTGCTTGAAGCTTCTGAGGCAAGTTCGCTTTCGCGAATAAAACGCACCGCCAGGCTGTAATTCCGTAGCATGTGGAACTGATTTTTGTTATTTATTTAAAGTTGAGACGATCGATTTGACTCAAGCACCCGGTCATTCTTTTCAGTCTGGAAAGAACGCGGGGTCTGAGCGAGCGGAAAATCGAACACGCGTGTTCAACACTGCTGCAAAGTATGCAGATTTAATTGAGCAGCATTCTTTTTTTTTTTTTTTCAAATTATTTTACTTGAAGCGCCATCTGATTTGCGATTAGTTAATTTGTTCTGGAATAAACACCGGCCTCTGGAATCTGATGAAATGTGTTCTAATGACTTTTCTAATTTACACATGCAGTGCAACAATTTCCTGTTTTTGTGAAATCAGACATGGTGCTGTTTTACGGACCCTGCTGCGGTTGCAATATACTGTCGGCACGGCCGTGTCAATAAATCCCGACGATCGCGTCACGCCGACAAGCGCAATATTCTTAAAAAGAAAAAGGAGGCAACGGGTCCTGGTCAAAGGTCTAAGCGCAGGTACTCGAGGACGAAGCTATGTCACGGGCTATGTGATCGTAGCCTAAAAGTAAAATTTAAGCGCAACGTAAAAACACATTTTAAGTTGATGTAGGTAAAAGTGGCCATATCGAGTACTTCAGGGTCCGATAAAAAGCAAGCTCCAGCCAAAAAATAATGAACGACGATAATTGCTCGTCGTTCCTTGACGCGCTGAATCTTGCCAAAATAAACGACACCCGAAACCACTCCGCAGCAGTTCCGTGGAATCCTGGGGTTAGTGAATACAGTGAAGCGCCACAAAATCCCTAAATGTTGGTAGCTGCCTGCCTACCCTGGTGGGCTCGGACCAGGACAGTACAAGGAACGCCAAGGAAATCACTTCCCTGGCAGTTACATAGAATCCCGGGGCCAATGAACACGCTGAAGCGCCACCAAGCCTTCGATGTTGGTGGCCGCCTGTCTACCCTGGTCAGCTCGGACCAACAAAATACAAGAAGCGCCAAGGAAATCACTTCCCTGGCAGTTCCGTAGAATCCTGGGGCCAAGGAACACACTGAAGCGCCAGTGTAGGCGACCGCCTGTCTACACTGGTCTGTTCAGACCAAGAAAAGACAAGGAACGCCAAGGAAATTCCTTCCCTGGGAGTTCCGTGTCATACCGGTACCCGGGAAATACGGTGAGACGCCAGGCTGGCAGTTCACCGAATTCCCTGGGCGGTCCCGGTCCATTCAACTACGGCCAAGGCCCAATCCTGGCCCCAGCTTGCCCGAGCGAATGTGCTGCCTGGGTCGTCACTCTGTTTTTCGTATTTCTGAAGAACATGACTCTACAACTACGTGTGCCTCAATTTCTTCAGAGTGACCAGTAATTTCTAAAATTATATATTGAGGGAATGTCCAAGCTGTTTTACGAATGTATTTTGCTCTAAATGTTTACACTGGTATCTTTATGGTATTTGCATATACTGCCCATTCTTCTAACTCTGCAAATACTCCACTACAATAAAAAAAATAATGCTGACATCCGGAGCGACAACATAAAATTGCTTTGAGACAGTGTCCCTTTTATTTTCTTATAGGTAGATCAACTAGCTGCAAGCCTGGTGTCCCTCAAACTTCCGGTGGGCTCCAGGGTTGCCATACTTTCTGCAAGACTTTACGAAAGTGCACAGCTGCTTTATGCGGCTTCCAAGGCGGGACTTGTTATGGTAAATACGAATCAGTTATTTGGCTGCACATGCTTTGTGCACAGACTTCGTGCGCAGCTTTAGATCCCGGCTCACATCTGTTCTGTTCTACAGGTTGGCATCCACACATTCTGCACGCTTTCTGAACTTGAATTTTGCTTAAATAAGGTAGGTCATCTGCAGCTCGAAGACGATTTTGTATACTTATTATATTATTTACAATAATTCAAATTACATTTAGGTTTTTTGTAAAGTGGTACAAAATGAACACATTACTGAAGGTCGAAGGATCGACTGCAGATACTTGATAAATGTTATGTGTTAGTAGGTGTCGGCTGGTGCGCTTTTATGTTGACAAAAATTGTTATTTGCTTGTGTAATGTACAATGTTTTGCGACAAAATATGCAATCCGTTAATGGGTCGGGGGAAGAAAGAGAATTTGAAAGAAACTATTGTGGGATGGGAGCTATCGAAAACATTCACCGTGATTATATCTTGGTAATAACTTACTATTCCTCGTTTCACCTTAAATCCAGACGTAGCCGGCGCTACAAGCTGATATGAGCAATTAGAGTGTCAAAAGCGCTCAATCATACTGTTCGCCATGTTTCTGTGCGTGTTCTATCATCGTAGAACCAATCCTGAACAGGAAAGGTCTAGTGAATTGCTCTCTTCACGCTGCTTGATTATACCCATTACCTTGTAGTGTCAACTGCATGTGAACTTAAACTGACCCGAAGTATTGTTAGTATTACGTAATCTTACTGGGGAATACTGAAGTGGCTTCCGAATTCATATAAAACTTGAGCCTTTCTAGTTTTGTTATTTTCTCTACCGATAAAAGTTCCAACTTTCACCATAGTTGAGAGGGGTAGACACGCCTTCACTATTTGTTATATAGACGTCTTGATGCCATTCTTCTTTATATATCGACCCTATTATTACCTGAGATAGCGTAGGGAAAAGCATACGAGGTTGGCACATTTGAGGATATCACGGGCTTATAGTATTCTGGTTTATTTTCACTCAACTCAAATTCGAAGACACTTTTTAGCTAAAGGAGTTAAATCAGTGCTTTATTGAATATATATGGATGTGCTGGCCCCATCGAAAATTGTTACTTGTATGTAGGCCACTCTTAAACACTTTAACTACGTTAAGGGAGAATATTTATTAAGTAAGAAAATGATTACTTGTTTTTGTTTGTTACTCATAGTTATAAATATTTCAATATACATTTTATGCCATCTGCCAATCGTGTCAGTAATTGCCGATTCCATGTCGTGCTATATTGAGGGTGATTTTAGCCTGTCGAATGATAATTTGTGAATAAAATGTGAAATACTTAGCAACGAGATGAAGTTTTACATGAATATTTAACTACCTCATTCACGTATGTCAAACCCAAGTAGATGCCACTAGTGGTCACTGTGGGACGCCAGGTAGAACTTTTTATTCCGATGATGAATGATCAAAATAAAAAAATTATTACGAATTTTTTTTTTGTCAGCGTTTTAACACACATACGATATGGGGGCCATAAACAAGAAAAGCTGCAAGTTTGCAGTTGTACGGGTTCCTGCGCCCCCAAACACAGCGCAGAGCGGTACTGATATGAAAACACGAAAGAAAAACACAATGACAGTATTTTCTTAACAACGTCATATAAAATAAGTTGCATTTCACGCGCTGAAGGAACTAAATATAACAAATATAAAATCAACATTTTCGCCAACGACGTGACGGATATGATGATACAACATATAAAAGTTTGGCGAGTCCTAAAATAATTCCAATAATTTATCTAAAGGCACGATACGTGGCAGTTAATCTATTAGAATACATATTAGATGTTTAGTATTCTATGCTTTATAAATAAGGGAAAAGAACTGTAATCACGTGAGACAATGTAAAATATGCAATAGTGTTTTGTCAGGATTAACCTCAACCTGTCAAAGATCCTTTTTGTTGTTGTCCCCGAAGCCAGGTGGCAGTAACAGATAATTAAATAAAAAAGAAAATTATATAACATTTTTTATTAGTTACAGGAAAACGTTGCCTATACGTGTTTTTTATTCCTACTACCTCACAAAGATAATGTAATTAAATGCCAAGATGCAAACGAGCTGGACAAGAATGACGAAAATAATCCATGGAGAAGGGGAATCAGGGGGACAAACTACAAACAAAATCTACGAACACAGCTAGGTGGCTGGTGCGCAACGGAAAAAAAATCTGCCTGGTCCTGGTACAGAACCAGGTCCCTGGTTCGGTTCCAGGACCAGGCGGAGTTTTTCGGTCGTACACCAGTCACCTAGCTGTGTTTGGATATATGTGTGTTTCCTTTGTCTCCCTTGTTCTGCTTCACCAGGGATTATTCTTGTCATACTCTAAAAGGCTTTTTGTTATGTATGCAAGAATCATGGATATTCCATGACCTTTGTTCGGAGAACACAACACCGAAGGGCCTGACGCTGTCTACACGTTGTACTATATTTGTCCCCCAAAACTGCAGATCACTGGACAATGCGACCCCTGATCCTGGACGATTAAATATAACGGCTTTCGTTTTGGAGGTGTCTATAACCAGAGGCTTAACGACAGCCCACTAGTTTAACTTGCTGAAAAATATTTTTCTTTGGAGTTAGTATAACTTCACTAGAATCAGAAAAAAAAATTCTGGTATCTTCTCAGTAAAAATTCAATTTGGCGAAGGTTTTGATGTCTGTAATATCGTTGACGTAAATAATAAACAAAATAGGGCCTAATATGTTCCCCTGAGGGACCCTAGAGTAAATGCGCTGCATGGTGGATGACGAGCTTCCCATCTGAACATACTTGTGGTGTTGTTGTAGATGGGACAAAAGAAGTGATATGGAATACCACGTATCCTATAGAATATTAACTTGTTCAGACGATTCCGGTGTTGTTTTCTTTTCGATCGGGGCGCTTTGCTGCAATCAATGAATGTCCCCAAGTCTAAAAGTATATTCTCAATATGTTCTGCTATGATCTCTTTCTGTGCTACCAGAGCTGTCTCTGTAAATCTGTGTTTCCTGAAACCCAGGTTCCGTGCCATTAAGTAGGAGTATTTTTCCCGAACATTTAAGAGTCTTGAACATGTGATTTGTTTAGTGAGCCGTGAAACAGTAATTAAAGCATAGAAATCGTACGATAGTTTCTCAAATCAATCCTATCCCCGTCTTTGTAAAGAACTGAAACCTTAGCCAATTGCATTATTTCGGGAAATACATGGGACGATAATATAAGGGTGCACAAATGACTTATGCATGGCAGTATAAAATCCCAGACAGATTTAACATGTCTGAATGGGAGATCGTCACAGCCATAACTACAGCTCTTTTTATGTTCATGAATTTGGAGAACACTTGGACTACATCAGTAGGGTTCAAAAACAGTTTCATTACAGGTGCTAAAATTATCTATGGAAGTGCTGTTATAAGTACTGCTACCCACCATTAGAATATAGTATTTGAATTCAATTTTAAGTTCAGTAGCAGATACTTCCCAATTATTAATGGTTCTCTTTTCAATTCCGTACTGGAGTGGGTTCCGCAGTAGGAAGTTCAAACGCTTCCACATAATTTTGAGATGCCTGGAACAAGATACATCAAACTTGCCAGCAAAATTACGTTTTTCTTTTTTTTATCGTGGTAACTGTGCAATTACGAAATATGTAATTATTTGTAAGTCACTCAACTTTTGTATTAGTTTAAAAAAAAATTACAAAGAAATATTTTTTTTTTTTAATCTGTTAAGAAAGTTGTCTACCAATTCAATGGTTTCGAGACGTTTTGTTGACATTACTTGTTTTGTATGTGAAGAAACTCAATTTTGGTTTTTCTTGTACAGCCATCGCAAATGACGCAATCCCAATAAACATCGTCATCTTCTGGTTTTGGTTTTGTCAAAACATGGCGTACGGCTCGTTTCTCGCGACGGAGTTCTAATATTTTGGTGCCGAGAACTCGGGATGATAACGATATAGTCACAACGGAATGACGACGGGGCATCCACCCGCAACGAAGCGAGCCAAGTGACGCCGCGAGAGAGCGAGCTTTAACGACGCTACCGACGTTATCAACCAACGAGGCCTAGTGACGTCGCAACGAAACGCGCCAAGAAAACGCGCCAAGGGACGCCGCAAGAGAACGAGCTCCATCGATGCTACCGACGTTATCACTCTACGAGCCAAGGGACGCCGCAAGAGAGCAAGCTCCAGCGCTGCTACTGATATTATTACTCAACGAGGCCTAGTGACGCCGCTAGGAAACAAGCCAAGGGATGCCGCAAGAGAGCGAGCTCCAACGACGCTACCGAAGTTATCGCTCAACGAGGCCTAGTGACGCCGCAACGCCAGCAACGCCGCGAGACCCAGAGGCGCCATGGAACGACTAAAGCAGAAGCGGACGGCTCTGAGGTCTTAAGTAACGAGGCTGATCTCCGACATCGACGCAGCTATCGCAAGCTACTCCGACGAGCGAAGCCTCAACGTATTATCGGTGAGGCTCAGTGAGTTGCGAATACAGCTGAGCAACGTGAGCGCATCCGTCGAACCACTGGTACCTGACGGAGACGTTGAGCAAAACTACGCCCGCACGACTGAATATGACGATATGATCGTCGCGTACATCGCCACCATCGCACAGGTGGTGGAGGAACACCGACGAGCGAGGCCTCACGCCGGTGCAACGCGGATTCACAACGACGGCGACGGACACGTTGCAACCTCCAAGGTGAAGCTTCCGAAACTGGATCTTCAACGGTTTGGCGGTGCAGCTACCGATTGGCAACACTTCTGGGAACAGTACAAGCAAGCCATACATGACAACGACAGCCTTTCTAACGCTGAGAAGTTCTTGTACCTGCGGTCGGCGCTTACGGGAAAGGCAGCATCGGCGATAGCCGGCATTCAAGCAACGGGAGAAAACTACGATACCGTCGTTAAGCTTCTCAGGGAGCGCTTCGGTCGGACTGACGTTCTCATTCAAGATCACCTCTTCCAACTACTTGATTTGCCAGCAGTACGACACTCGAGCGAGGTGAGCGGATTGCGACGTCTCTATGACCACTGGCAACGTAATATGGCCGCTCTCAACGCACTCGGGGTGAAGAGCGACACTTACGGAGCTATGCTCTGCTCTGC